TCCTCGTTAAAACAAGGAACAAACTGAAAGAAATCAGGAACCACCTGCAAGATCTAGATTTTGCCAGCCTAGCACGTTGGAGTCACTCAACCACACCACAGGCTTTGTTCCTTCAGTTGTCCTGTAGCTGAAGCACAGTCCTGTCTCAGATTAACAGAACACGTACCCCACAAGTGGCAAATATTTGTGCAACTGAGAAATAACGCTTTAAAAAAGTGGATTTGCAAGAAACCAGCAGTGAGAGGGGCCTATACAGCAAGAACAACGTGTCCTTATGGTGCTTTCAGTGACTTTATGGCTGGAAGGCATAACTGTCAATAAACCCTCAATCTTCTGTGACACTGAACTCCAGGCTCACCACAGCATTCCCTGACACAAATACTCTCTTCTGTGTTCTTTGTATCAAATTACATGGCAACTCTGTCACAAACTACGTGAGGCAAATGAAAGATCTGTTCCTCCAGCCAGGCTTCCCCTACTTTTCAGTTAAACTGCATATCCTCCATTTCCTACATAGCAGGAGAGGACAAATTGAATCCTTTTGTGCCTTGCCTCCCCTCTCCTCCTCATCCTTTCTCATATGAAGATCTTTCTCCACGTTCCTAAGAATTCTTCATGTTAACAACGCAGCTAACATTGTGTGTGCCCTTACCTGTTCTGCACAATCAAGTCATAAAGAGAGATTTTATTCTACATGTGGTTCTTAGGTTACCTGAGATACTTTATTTTCTGGGGGAAAAAAACACACAACCCAGCATGCAGGGTAGAGGTTTTCATGTGAAAGTCTGCATAGGACATCCAGGTCCTTGTGTGTGTATCCCCTGATATACATAATAAGCCATCTCTACCTGCTGAAATTTTCCTTAGACCACATGTAGCTGCCTTCCTCCTCACTGCATTAGAGAGAAATCTCAATGAGAGGTGGGGGACACCCATCACACCTGCAGGAACACACCCCCTCCAGACATTCCAGCACAGAGCAGGGCACAGCTGGTGCTGCCTCTGACCACACACTTGCACAGCAAACGATTCAGAAATCATGCTATTTCTACCACAAAAGTCCCACCCTTCTCCAGCTGATAGCAGTACAACCTGTTGCTACCACTCAGTAACAGGAAAGCTGTTTCCTCAAGTTCTCTAACCAGAAATCATTTGTATATCAAAAAATCTATTTACAATAAGCCAATGAGACTTTTGCACTTTCTCGCCCGTTAACGCATTTTCCACAACTAGAAACCTCGTCAGAAATCAGCTGGTCCTTGGAAATCCAATACCAGCTCAACTTTTACCGTGAACCCAGAAAACGAAAGCGATGCAAACGATAACCATCGAGAGAGGCTTCTTGAGAACAACAAGCGGTCACCCCCAGTGACGGGAACTGCACCTAGCTGGGTGTTCACCCAGGAGTCGCTGTGCCCGAAGGAAAGCAGCATAACGTAAGTAAACATTTGTGGTTTTCCTTCTCACTTATCACAGCCCCTCGGCTCTGGGCTGCGTTCCTGTAACAGAGCCTACATGGAATCCTGAAGGTCACACTGCAATTTCAGCTGGTGCAGCATGTTTATACAATGATCTTTCACAACAGGGCCATCTCAGATCTTTATTTCTGCGTGAAAATGGTTTCCCATTCGTTACCAAGTGCAGTTCAGGGCATTAACTTCAAAATACAAATTCCCCTATGGTTTATCTCTCGTGCACTTTGAGACGCGTTGGTTTTCCTGGCCTAACAGCCAGTAATACTCAGGATGCTCCAGCACACCACCACCTGATTTACTGGCTGTGGGAAGAACCACCACAAAACCACACAGATTTTCATCTGCAAAATGATTCAGTGGGGAAGAGAATTTTAAACAATGAGGACGCTCTGCAAAAAAATTTAGAAGTTTTATAAAGGTCACCTACTTGAAAGACACCTTATAGTGGCTGCTGCACCGCTATTTTGAGATGCTTGGGAAGTTTGGGAGAATAAACGCAGGCAAGTTCTTTCTTTCTAGTCCAGCTTTACACTTCATACTGTTTGAAAGCTACAATTACACAAGATCTTTTAAACAGATGAAACATTTTTTTTCCCCAGGTATCCAGCATGTAAACTGTAATTCTTGGTGAGGAAATAAAAAAAAAAAAAAAAATTAATTTTTGTTCCTATCATTACATATTTCAGACTGGGAAAGGTCAATTCCCTCAGTACCATCAAACACCCTTTTACAGCACTGGTTAGTTATGAGATATAGAACCTAATTAAATGGGATTTAGTCTTTGCCATCATTATCACAGGTAACCACCATCAGTATCACCCACCACCTACAAACCACACGTGAAAAATTAAGTCACTATTTTAACATACACACTCATTAAATCTCAGCTTCTGTGATGCTTAATTCAACAAGATTGATAATGGCTTTCACCCAGACTGCTGGTGAATCACTGGCATCGCAGCAGAAGTTTCCAAAAGCATCCTGCTCAGTTCTGTTCATCTGCTTTAGCACAGGAACACTTTATATAAACACACGTGTCTCGAGATGCCCCTCAATTAAACCCTGCCTTATTAATGTCTGCAATTTCCGGATTCACACATTCATCTGTTCACTGGAACACCAGTTTTTTTAAATCATCAGCATACAACCACCTCATCGTAAATGTCTAAAATATTTTGCTTTGAACTAAGCTAGTCTGGATACAGAGCCGACAAAAAAACCCCACAAAAACAAACAACAAACCACCAGAAACCACACAAGTAACTTCCCACTCATCTCCATTAAGGCTCCTGCTGCTCACAAGTGATTGACAAGCTCACCACTCAAGCCTCTGGTTGTCAAAACAGACTGTACTGATGGTACCTGCGTTTCTAAATTTCCCTCCCAGCAGCCTGTCAAGCTGTCTGCTGTGACAGGCCCTTTGCTGGGACAGGAAGGCAAAGCCATGAGCTACGGTTGGGAAAAGAAAAGGTGCCCGATAACGTCTGCTTCTGTTTACATTAGTGGAAACCATAATTTCGTATCAGCATCATCTATTAATGCACTGAAGAAAGCCACGGTGCTCCTGGGGAAGCTTAGAAACTGTCAGTAAGGTCCACACTGCTCCTGGAACGTGGGTTATTTATACAGCTATGGAGTCTCTTATTAGCTCCGCTGACTTCAAACGCAGCAATACAGACATTTATAGCTGATAAAATTAATGCGCTCCACGTCCTCATAAGCCTGAAAGGGGTAAAAAAAGGTACGTTTAGGAGCCCATTAAGTTCTGCTTCATAGTACTGCTGTGTTATCTAACATCTCTGTGGCCATATGATGTGAATAAAATATGAATGTTGAAGTTAACAATTGCATTTTTCTTCCAGCAGAGTCATTAGACAACAGCACTGCTAAACCAGTTACAATGATTAAAGCAGCTCAGCCACAGCCCAGCTTACTTTGAACTTTTTAATAATTTCTGTGAATTTTTCAATCTTTTTGACCCCCTTCAGCCATTTTCAATATGGCAAAACCACCCAGAAAACAGTAGCTACCACGAGAGGGACAGACGATTTGTCATTCACACTTGACTGAAATTAATAAAAATAATAGAGCTACTCTGAGGAAAAAGGCATGTGGAGGAAAATTAAACATTCCCAGTTCCTAGGGGGGAAAAAAACCCGCATCAGTTGCCTGTTCTAAACCAGCACAGGCCTCACAATGGCTTTTGAGGACAAAACCTGACACCAGGACATTCCCGACCACCAAAGCACATTAAAACGCAGCTACACCAACACCACCACTGCCGGCACGAAACCCTACCCACCCTCGCCCCGGAATCCAACGGCCAAAACAACGCCAGGGTGGAAAAACTAGTGAAAGTCAAGAGGAGTTCCTGTGCGGTTTCACCACGGTCTGTCCCCACGCAGAGGGAGCCGAGGCCACCTCGCTCTTCCCTCAGGCGCCACAGACAAAAGAGCCACGACCAGGGGCGGGGGGGGGGGTGTCCCGGGAACGGGGGGTATTAATTCCCGCATCGCTGTGGTTCAACACGACACGGGGACGAGTTTTCTTATCTTTCAAGGCACGCAGAGCCCCTGGAAAAACAACAGCAGTCGCAGGGCACACACAAAAGCCGCCTGCCCCTCGGCCGCCGCAGCCTGAGGCGATGCCGCCTCTCCCCACCCCTAGGCCGGACCCAGCTCGTCTCCGCCTTCCCTGCGCCGGGCACAGCGACCCGCGGTCCCTCCCGCCTGCCCGGGGCGCTCGGAAATCGAGCCCGGCAGGAGCCTGAGGCCCGGCGAGGCACGGCACCACGGAACTGTCAGGGTTGTGAGGCACCTCTGGAGATCAGCTCGCCCGACCGCCCGCCCCTCCGCCTCCTTCCCCGGCACGGCGGGCAGAGCCCTCCCGCCCCATTGTTCCCCGCACCCCGCCGCGGAGCCGGCGCACTCACCACGCGGGCCGGGCTCCCCGCAGCGCCCACCGGCCCCCTCAGCTCCGGCACACGGGGGCTGAAGCAGCGCCCTGCTGCTCCTCCGGCAGTACCCGCGGGCCCCGGGGCAGCGCCGCCATCGCCCGCCGCCGCCCCGCCGCCGCTCCAGCAGCGGCCATCTTGTGCGTCGGCTGCTCCCCTCACCGCCTCCCTCCTTCCCTCCCTCCCCGCATCGCCCTCCCCTTCCTGCGCCCGCCCTCCTCCGGGCAACCGGGGCGGGGCAGCGAGAAACAGCCGAGTCACGGGCTGCAGCGCCGTGAGGGCTGGGCCGGGCAGAGCTGGGCAGGGCTGGGCCAGGCTGGGCAGGGCAAGGCTGGGCAGGGCAGGGCAGGGCAGGGCGGGGGAACTGTCACCCATGGCGGGGCCGGTGTCCCGTCGTCCGTGAGGGCTTGTGTGCCTTCCCGTCGCCCTCTCTCGCCGTTTCGCTCTGTCACCTCATCTTCTCATTGCTAGGGGGCTCAGACAGGCTTCGGGGTGGAGATCGCGGCTCTTCACACGCCAAGTGCCTGAGGAACGCTCTGTGTGTTGGGAGCCACCCGAGGGTTGGCCCCCGCCCGCCATTTTCTCTCCCTCAGGATGCTGCTCAGTTGGCGAACGCTGCTGTTCCCCTCACCTTCCCCGCTGTGATTGCCTCATGCCGATACACCTCAGAGCTTGGGGACGGGTAATTTTCTAACTTAAAGGGAAAATAACACAAAGTAAGCTTTTCCCGCTTAGGTGGCCGTGCAGGGCAAAGCCCTCGCTGCTCTGCCCACCAGCCCCAGGAGAAGGCGCAGAGCTGGGCTCGCTTATTTGCTGCAGGACACACTTAAATCATCCTCAGCTTTAACTAACACCACAGGTAAGATGTTTGGGGACCCACCGAGCCTTCCTGTATCACAGTATCAGAACTAGTTGAAATACTGAAGAAATTTTAAAACCTTATAAAATACCTTGCAAATGTTTATAATGACTCGTAGTATTTACTTAGCATGTACCGACTGATGGTTTTAAAATGTTCCAAAGGTTAATTATTTGCCATCAGGTTATTTGAAGGTAGCATCTTGGTGCCCATTTACAAGAATGTGAATATGGTGTAAAATACTAAGGAATTTATCCACAGGTATTTTCAAATTAAAGACCAAAAATGGCGTTCAGTGGCCACGTCTTACTGCCCAGGTATTTTGTCATGTCTGTGCCCAGATCTGTGGGATCAATCCTGGTGTGAGGCCACTGTGTGGGATGCTGCGTATGGAATCACTGCATTTCTATTTTCAGTTTGTAACACCATGAGGAGCACACAGTGTATATTATCAGTTCAGTATCCGAACTGCAGCGTTGCATGACCTCAAAATGCAATTCAAACAGAGCAGTGTCAGGTCAGAAGTATCCAGGCCCGGAGCCAGAGACCCAAGACAGCAACCTGCAAAAGGAAGCTGGGTCATGACATCCAGATAAATCATCCAAATAAATCACAGAGCTAAACTCCTACCCACAGGGAAAAACTACGCAGTGGGAGGTTACTCTTCAGCTCCTACTTCTGACTCTTGTACTGATCACAGACAGATTTTCATGTTAATTTTACAAGAAATGCAATGGTAGTAACTAAAAGTGTTACTTCTATCCATTTTACTATAGAAATCATCTCTATTATTTAGGTTTGTCCACCAAAACAAGCCTAGTGCTTATCAAGCTTAGATAATGTATTATTAAGAACAGCTATTAATTTCTGAAAACTGGCTTTTCTTACCATATTCATCAGAAGGTAACATATTCCCAAATACCACCTTTAACTTAGCAAGAGCCTTACTGTGAGTTACAAAAGAAGGGTAAATTGGAAGTGTGCAAGGCCAGGTTGGATTGGACTCGGAGCAACCTGGACTAGTGGAAGGTGTCCCTGCCAATGGCAAGTGGAACCAGAGGAGCTTTAAGATCCCTTCCAACCCAAACCATTCTATGATAAATTGGGAAGTTTAACATGGAAATGTCAAGCATTACGACTGTTTTATTGTTGCTTCAAAAAGATTAACAGGAAAAGTTTAAAAATCCACCAAGAGAAATCTAAACCAAGCAACGTAAACATCAGAATCCTTAGCACCATTGTCACAAAATTAAGTAGCTGAATGAGCACTTTAATCAAGAATATTGTACTTAGCCGGATTTGGAAGTTGGAGATGATCACACATTAGTACATTATTACATTTTTATCATTATATTATCACTAGAATACTTGCTACAATGCCTCAATGAAACCTTCATACTACTTGTTCTTAATGGCTGTATAAATAATGTAAGAGTCTTTGTCCTGAAGCACCATCTTTCATATAACCAATCGGCAAACTGCAGTCTAATTTTTAAAAATTTAAAAAATAAAATTCAAATCTGAACCATTATACTCCTATTTAATCAGTCCTCTCTCTTGGAAATGAACTATTAAGCAGTATCTTTGCACGTTATTCGCGATCAATTTAAGTACTCTCTTCACCCTATTACTCTGATTTAAAACTCTACCTATCTGCCAGAGGACAGGGTTAGATGGGATATGAGGAAGAAATTGCTCCCTGTGAGGGTGGGGAGGCCCTGGCACAGATTTCAAGAGAAGCTTGGAAGATCCCTGGAAGTGTCCTAGGCCAGGTTGGACGGGGCTTGGAGCAACCTGGGCTGGTGGAAGGTGTTCCTGCCCACGGCAGGGGGTGGAACAGGATGAGCTTTGAGGTCCCTTCCCACCCAAACCAGTCTGAGATTCTATACCACAGAAAATTCCCAAACCAGCAATTGCCATCTTGTGCAGACTCCTCTCCCAAATGTTCCACAGAAATGTGACCTCTGTTGGAGTTCTCAGTGTTCTGAGCAGAAGCAGAAGAGGGCAGTAGGAGCTGAAATGGTTGCTGTTCTTTAAACCTTGGTGTAAAGTCACAGAAACTAGAAATGGTCAAGGCCTGAGGACATCCTGATACTTCCCGGTTTCTAGCAGGGGATTGTGTTCTGGCTTTTAATAGTCCAGTCTGGAGACTTCTACCACTTTCTGTACTTGGTTCCTGTGTATTGTTCCTGTATTGTGGAAAGGTGTTAGTTTTCAGGTAGTTTATGTTTTCCCTCAGCATTTAATTCCATCACCACCATTAACACGCTAGCAATAGTTTGCACTATTACAACACAGGTTACCACAGCTGTTGAAATTTAAAGAAGTGGGATCTGAAATGGCCTATGGTTCTTCTTATGTAACACTGCAAAGATGAGTACTTTAATTCTCAAACCCCATTTTATACCTCCATCAGAGTCATGCTTTTCTAATGCTTACTCTTTATTCTGTTTTCTAAAAGTTCAGAAATTTGTAGGTGAGCTTGTTCTCTCCTTGGGAGCTGATCCCACTGGGTATCTAGATGAGTTTTACTGTCTGCTTTCCCCAGTCACACAGCATTTCTTCCTGCATGGCACGCTGCTTTAGCATTTGAAGCACAAAACAACATTTGTCTTAAAGTTACTCTTTTCAAATCTCATTTCAGCTTATCATTAAATCTGCTATCATTTATCTCCACATATTCATATTGTTCTGCCTTTTATGTCCTTAAAACCCCACAGGAATTAGTTTGATTCTACCACATATAGTCTAAATTTTCAATTCCTTTTTTTCTTTTGTTTTTCCGTCCCAGAGGGGATAATGTGTAGGCATGGTTCTAGGATTTGACATTTGTGGCCACCCTAGTAATGTTCTTCAGATTATGCCTTAAAAATGGCTCCTCATTTTAGCCTCTACGACTGAGAGAAATAGGTAAAATACCAGGGTAACTGTCAAATGGTGTCATCTCACCATTCAATTTTTATACTGCTCTCTCATATAAAACTGATACAGAACTGTGCTACCAGAATAGCTGTCTTTATACAAAAAATACATATCTTTAGAATGTGATGGCAGTGTTTCACTTTGCTATTTTAGTTACCAACGTGAGCAGTAAAGCTGATAATAATGGAAAAATTCTTATTTTGAAACCTGCGAAATCAGAATGAAAGGCAAGAATGAAGTATTTTTCCAGGTGGCTGCAAGTATGTAAAAAATGTCCTTGTTAATTCACACAACCAAGATCCTTGCATGTAAACCACAGCTAACAAAAAAGACAATCTTTAGCACTTGTATGTGCTTGACCATCTCCTTAACAAAACCTAAATTCCTGCACTTTTATAAAATTCCACTGACAAAAGCAGAGGACTGCACCTGTCCAACATAATAATTTTAAAAAATTCCAGTATTTATTAAAGAGTGTGCTGAACATCATCCAAGCCCAGGGGATGCAGCTATGAGAGCTCGTTATATGTGCTTGTTTTAAAACAAGAGGATGGGAGCAAAGCAGAGCCTTCCACTGTGGAAGGACACGCTCAGTTGTCTCCACCAGAACAGGCAAGGTTTAGGCTGCCTTTGTGCAAGAGGAGCCTGAAGGATCTGCAGCAATGTGAAGTGCATATGTGCAAAATCAGAGTTCCTCCATGACTGCCTCTCTCCCAGACATTCAATTTGCAAACCCGCCAAACATCAGAGTGAAAACTCGTTGCAGTTCTTTGATGCTGCACATAATAAATCTGCAGACTCTCAGTGCAGTTAATAATGTTTGTGTTTTCAGGCTGCTTGGAATGCAAAAGATCTATGAAAATATACCCTCTGGTTGCAGCTGGTGTGGAAAAAGAAGAAATTATAAGGGAGGTAATAAGAAACCTCGATGATTTCTCATTAGAAGTTTCACTCACTTAACTGTCCCATCTCCTCCTTCTCCCACTGGTGTTTAGGGATGCAGAATGCTGGCTCAGGGGTATGTGCCCCAGATTCTCGTGGTGCTCCTTACTGCCTTTTTGCTTACATGTAATTCCTGCTTTGCTTCAATCCCAGAGCTTCCCCTGTCATCCAGTTCATCTCTCTCTGTGGGACAACAATTTTGCAGCAATATGAAGTCCAAGAATTCGCAGCACAGCAGGTCCGTAGACCCACCAGGCAGAGCAAGGCACAGGCAGTACCACAGCACATCCCTGTTGTTCTGGTGCCCTCTGCTGAAATCACCATCTGCTTGACTTCTGAATCACCCCACGTGCCATGTGCTGCCACCTCTTTACCTTGCACTTCCTTGATTGATTTCCTTTTCTGTCTTAACAGAAAAGCACAACTACAACCCTTCACTTCCTTTCCTTCTTCCAGTGGCGCTTAGGTTGAAACTTGTTCTGTTCCTTCATAATACTGCTGCATCACATTTTACAGCAGCCTTGTATTGAGCTTGGGAAGGTAATAGATGAGTTGAGATCAGACAGTTATGTTTTGTAAGAATTCCAGTGTGTGTGTACGTGCATAAAACCACAAACCACCCAAATAAGCAATGTAATTTTTGTTCCTTTCTGGCAGATTTCCTTGTGCACAGTAGAACTGGGGGAAATGAGAGGCAGAGAGGGCGATACAGCCAGCACAGTTTCTCTCCAGCAATACCTGTGTTTAGCTGCATGTAAAACCACAGCCTTACTCTCACTTTGCAGGGGAAGCAGAATTGTAAAGGTTAAGCAATTTCTCAGGTTCACAAAGCAAGCAGTGGCAGGATGAGGAATAAACCCACGGTCTGGTCTCCTGTTCCAGCCACTACACCTTGTGTTCCTCCCCACTCGTGCAAATTACAGTACTTGTGTTATGACTAAACAGATGAGTGAGTAATTTTTCCATTTGAATTTCCCAAGGAAAGCGCTCTTACTGCAAGTAAAAAGTAGGACTGTCTTACATCTCTGTAGTCATGTCCCATTTCTGCAGTAAAGGAAAATGTGCTGATGATTTCCCGGAGTTATCCTTGCTTAGTATCCCCCATAAAGACTCCAAGTTTTGTACTGGTTTGGTTTGAGAACGCCTGATCCAAGACTTTCCCAGTGCATCTTCCAACAGATGGGACTGTCAGTTCCCTCAGGAAAATCAAGGACCAACCTTAGCTACTCCTGATGTTATGAATATCTGCATAAAGCAAGTTTAGGTGGTTTTATATTAGAGTGGATCTCAAGTAGCTGCTTATTCAGATCTCAGTTCTAGCAGTTTTTAAAAAGTATGTTGTTAACGTGATTGCAGGGAGACATATTTGATACGTCATCCCTCAGTGGGATTTCAGAGGAGACCTGTAAAAAAAATCTTTTATAATAAATATTTGTATTATATATACTATACTGTATTATATATCTATATTATATGTCTAATCTATAACATGTATAATGTGTTCTATATTCTTTATATATGTAGCTCCAGTATATGCTTGAGAAACAGTTCACAAAAGATTATTTTCACTGAAAACGTGTCAAAGTTGTTTAGATGGGCTGAGGTTAGTTTTTGGAGCTCATTGCTGCATGGAAATTGTTATTCTTTTACCAGGTTCTACATATCACGTCTTGTCTGACAGGCCCATCCTCACACACACAAACCTCTACCTTCTTGGCAAGAATTTCCTCCTCCAGTTTTGAATTTCTTCTCAGCACAGTACTCTGAGTTTCCTCTCTCTCATTACTGTGCTGATAAAAAGCTGTAACACACCATTCCAGCAGTTCAATTGCTGCAGGAAACACTTGAATTTCTGAATTGTAAATGTACAGCACAAACTGTTCTTGTTGTGTATGTTCTGGTTTTGGTAAATTGTCACCAAGAATTACGTCATTAATCCTAACCTTTAAGGATATTTTATTTTTAATTTGACATTTCAACTGTTGATTTTATTTTTTAACTCGCTTAAAAAGAACACGGGTTTTGTAAAAGGAAGTTGATATCTTTCATGGTTAATAAAAGATTCTTTCAAGATTGCTCGAAGGCCTCAGTAATCTGACATGTCATATGATGCTGCCTACTCTTCTTTGATTCCAGCAGGTGAAGGAGGTGGCATTTACAGAAGAAGAAAAAGGAAAATCACTAAAGGGAATCAGTAAGTTGAATGAAAAATAGTAACTAATAGTGGAATTAGCTCTCATTTCCAGACAGGAAGAGATAGTGTTTGTGGTTTGGCTAGTTAACTATTTTTGATTTATTTTTCTATGCAAGCAGCTGATATAATTGCTAAAGAAACAGCAGTGCAAGGATCAGAGCATCCTGCAGGCATAGATGGGGCTTACATTGTGTATACATTTTTAAGATGTTAAATCATTTAATTTTAGCAAGAGTGGCATCAGTTTCTCGGGGATGAATGGGTGTTTTTTACATGCTCCTTGAGGCACATGGAAGGCTGGGATATGGGCAGAAGCTGTGGCCTCTTCCCAAACCTCAGCTCTCTTGAGCAGCACTTTCTTTTCTCGTTCATGAGGCCACAGCATCTCCAGCCTTACTGTCCCCAGAGCTTTTGGGGACATTGGTGTTCTGGTGGCTCTGCTGGGCAGACGTGCTACCTGCATGAAAAATAAGAGCTTAAAAGTCAGTTATTAATTTTCCTCATTAAGTCCTCAATCTTTACAACCTGACTGTAGTTGGACTTCAGCAGTTTGATATCAGAAGGTTGTTTATGTGGCAGTTTATCACTGTCTCTCACAGGCAGCAGTTTCTCTTATCATTGTTTCCATTAACACACAGAGCTCTGAAAAAAAAAAAAAAAAAAAAAAAAAAAAAAAAAAAAAGAGAATAAAGGAGTGTCCTCTATTTTCATACAAAACCCCTCCTTCTCCTTGGACTTCCTTCCACAGGAAGCTCATAGGCATGTAGGCACTTACTTGCATATTAAATAGACAAGATAAAACTGTTTCTACCCTGCAGAGATGAGTCAAACATGGAAAACCAGTGGAGGGCAAACGTGATCATTCACTGATCTCTGAGGTGTAACAGCTACAACTCACAAGGGGCGGGAGGCAGAGGCTGAAGCAAACTGGCTTTGTCTTGTACGAAAGGAGAATCCTGGCAAGGCAGTGTTAAAATTCTAAAACTCTGCCCCTCAGTCTGCCTTTTGATATCAGCAACTAAAAGGGCAAAACCAGAGAGGTACAAAGATACAAAGCTTGTGTAAGATCCAGGTCTGCCTGGGAGGACCTGAGGGAAGGCTGTCACCCCGAATCACAGTCAGCACTTCAGGAGGAGACAGTGCTGAAGAATTGGTTTGCACCAGGATTTTGTGCCACAGCCAAATAAATCACCATGCCTTGTATGTGCTACTGTTAAAGGTTATTAAATCTTGGCAAAGACCTCAGCAAACAACAAAACTGTCCCTGTGAAATACTGTTCAGAAGACCAGTGCAGCTCCCTGGAACTGATGTATCCACCCATATGTAAGTTTATTAGCAGGAGATAAACACATAACCTGGTATATTTTACAGGGTCATAGATTATTAAAATGCAGATGGGCCCGGGCACAGCTTACACAACCAGTACCTCCATAAGACAGTCTGCACCTCTACAATCCAGGGAATTATTCTGGGTAAAAGTACAGGAAAAGATAATTTACCTCCGTAGTGAGAGGGACCATTTTTGGTATGACTAACCTTTCTCAGCAGTAAAGGTGAAAAAAATCAAGTTGGATCCACCAATCTCACCTGAAATCTGTGTCAGCTCCCTGTAATTCTTTACAATTATTAAACACTGAGCTGCAGCACAGCATAATAAATTACTGCTTCTCAGGTTTCTGAAACTTCTCTGTTACAAGAATCTACTATTATCAGACAAGAACTGCTTGGTTGCTCTTCATTTTTCATCTTTTCTCTGAGAGAGATTTGTGCTCTGTTAAACTTGAATCCCATACCCATTGCTGCTCAGCTGCCTTTTTAGGTGTCAGATCTTACCAACAGCCAAGTAAGTGATGGATATTTTCCTCAGAAAACAATTTCTCACACAACTTCCAATTTTCTTATTCTGCAGAAGTTGCAGAGGAAGGGGTGGCTTTGAGGGTCAGGGGTTCTGTCACAGGTTCTCTAGGAAGTACAGTGCACATACACTGACAACAGGAAGGCTTTATCTCCCCATGTAAACACAGACTTCCTTGCCTAGTCCTTACACCTTGTAGGGCTTCCCAGATGAAGCCTCCCAATTGCAGGTTACCACAGAAGAGCTGAAGTAGGATGGGCCCCATCTCTACTTACCAGTAGGACCAAGAAAACAACCTTTGAATTTTGTGGTTGATGCAGGAGCTCAAGTATCCCCCATGGATACTCATAAATCTGACAAAAAACATTTTTTCTAAAAAGGTCTCAAAAGGATGGAATAGATAATTTGAGTGAGATTTTGATGGCTTTGATTAATATTTGTATATTTTTTTTGTCTCAATAGTTTTGCAGTGTGTGTATATGAGTTTTCCACAGGCATTACTTTGGAATGCTTTTCCACAAGCGTTACTTTCATCACACCCCAGGATGTGAAGTAAATGAGGAATTAAGTACAATAAAAAAAGCAACTCTCATAAAGTGTTTTACTTTGAGAGTCCATTATGCTGCAAAAAGTTATTGCTGGTTCAGACAGATGTGCTGGTTATGAGCGTTCACTTCTTTTGTATATGTACAGAGTGTTTTCTTTCCACAAAGTCTCTTATTTTCCCAGGCTTGGCTATGTCTCAGATTTCTCAGATGTCCAACTGAATTCCCTTCAGTCTCACTCTGGTACAACTCAAGGTCAAGTTGTGCAGGCTCCTGGTAGCTCTTTGCGTTCTCCCCAGAGATCTCTGGAATTGAAAGGAGGTGCCCAAAACTCAGTGGAGTTGAGCTCAGTGGAGCAGAAGAATTATTTTGCTCTTTTACAGCCTTTACCTCCACTGCAGCAGCGTAGTCACATTTTTTGCAACACCACTGGTGACTCATTTTCTATTTGTGAACTGCTACGAACCAAGATTTTCTGTAAAGTGACTGCTTTGCCACTTTGTCTTCAGCTCACACTTTTGCAGCCAGTTATTCCCAGCTATATGTAATAGTTTCTCACCTTAAATTGAATTACATCCTCTTTAGTTCAGATCTTTCTTCCAACTCGTCGTGACTTGTTCAGTTCTAATTTCATCTTCCAAAATGCTTACAGCTCTCACCTGAACAGCACATCCTCCACAAATATGATAAATATGTTCCCCAGCCTCTTGCCTCACAGAAGCAGTTCAGGACTCGGGATGTGAGCATCCCCAACAATCCAATGTCCTTCCCCAACAATCTTTCACGTAAGCTCTTTATTTCTACTCTCTGGGGCTCCTTGACAGTTTTAGCTCATATTGTGTGTTAGTCCTTGTGTTGTTGATTTTAATAATTTAACCTAGATTTTGCTTTTTCAAAAGGTGCAAGCCATTGAAATATTTCAATTTAAACAGACCCTTTCTTGCTTTCTCACTGCACTGATCTGGTTGCAGCATTGGTGTTGATTCTCTGGGAAATGGAAAACTTTTAGAGGGTGCTTTTCCTTAATTTGCTACAGTGGGGTTTGCCATTCAAACGGTGACTTTACTGGAACTTATTTTCTTCAAGTCCATTGGTTTGATTTTCCTTCCATCCCTTTTGAAGAGTCATTAACTTTTAATGACCACTGGCACCTGTATAGCCTCCCAGATTCCTTTCAGAGCAAGTGCCGTGCTAGTTCAAGTCTCCTTATCACCGATTCCTACACTTGGGATGATTTTATTCAAATGGAAGTACCATTCCCTTCATCTTTTTCATTTGTGTGTTGCTAATGGGTCTTTGCTGTGACACTGTTCTTTTCCTTTTTTTGCCATTATCCAAATATTGTCACTCACTCTGTACCTGACATTCCTTTTTTCCTACCCAGGCTTCCTGAACAAACTCTCCATTTCCATAACAATAACCAGAGATGACAATTTATTCATAATTCTGGTTGTGAGTATAATGACTTGCAGTTCCTCCTGTTTCTTACCCACATTCACACACCAGTGTGTAGCACCTGAACACAGTGCCAGGGAGACGTTTTTTTTCTTATTAGTCCTCACTTTTAACATCCAGTAAAATCATTTTCCTCCTCCCCCCGAATTATTCTTCTTTCCATGTGCTTTTGTGGTTCATCTGAACCCTGTGTTGTGATAAGAATAATCTGAAGATAATTTAATTTACAGCAAGCCTGCTTGCCTTGCCAGCTTCAAGACAGGTTTGTTAGAGCAGCACAGGGCAAAAAAGACCACAATAACAAATAAACCTTTATTGAAGGCTGTTGGCTGACACTCCTTAAGGTTTTGCTGATCCACACGTGAAATGGGGAGAACACAGACAAGCTGTGTGAATGTTGTGGTTCATTTAAATGTAATTTGTTTCACACACAAGACAAAAGAGGGGAAAAAACCCCAACAAGACAAGCTTTCATTATTTAAACATATTTTATTTGAACATAAACAATGATGATATTTATTTAAACATAGACATACACTTGCTATTTAAACATTTGTTTAACCACACCAAACCACCGTCAATAAGCAAACACTGGCGAGACTGGAGTACAAAATCCGAAGGCAAACATAAGAAAGTAATTTTTTTCCTGAAGTGCACCGTGATTTATGGGTTGCTTCTGTTGTCCTTCACTTGTGGGCAAGGATTTTGACACATTCGGGTTCCCACTGGATGCTTTCAGACGGGTGGGAACAGGCGTTGTCAAATGCAGCGTGGGCAGCAGGGCAGGAGGATTCTGCCCCTCTCAGATGAGACCCCCCTGCAGAGCTGCCTCCAGCCCTGGGGAACAGCACGGGAAGGACATGGAGCTGATGGAGAGAGTCCAGAGGAGGCACCAACATGATCAGAGGGCTGGAGCAGCTCTGCTGCGAGGAAGGGCTGGGAGAGCTGGGATTGTTCAGCCTGAAGAGAGAAGCTTTGGGGTGACCTGATTGTGGCCTTCCAGTGTCTGAAGGGAATTTAAAGGAAAGATGGAGAGAGACTATTTACAAAGGCCTGAGTGCCAGGATAAGGGGGAATGGCTTCACACTGACAGAGGGCAGGGTAGGATAAGATATCAGGAAGAAATCCTCCCCTGAGAGGGTGGGCAGGCCCTGGCACAGGTTGCCCAGAGAAGCTGTGGCTGCCCCCGGATCCCTGGAAGTGTCCCAGGCCAGGTTGGACGGGGCTTGGAGCAACCTGGGCTGGTGGAAGGTGTCCCTGCCCATGGCCTTCGAGGTGCCTTCCAACCCAAGCCATCCGTGGTTCCGCGGTTCCGTGTTCCCAGGGGACACTCCTGTGGGCCGCGCGGGACTCGAACCCCCCCCCGGGGCGGGCTCGGCTGCTCCCCCTGAGGGCGGGGCCGGCCCTCCTTCGCGCCCGCCCCCTGGCCGTGCGCGCGCACCCGCCCGCCCCCTGCCCGCCGCCGGAATGTGGCCGGCGCTGTCCCGGCCCTGAGGCGGCTGCGCGGCCCCGCCGGGCTGGAGGCGGCAGCGGCGGCTCGGGGAGCGCAGCTGGAGGAGAGCGGCTCGGCTGCTGCGGTGAGACACGGCAACGCCGCGGGCCTGCCCCGCCGGGGCGAGGGGAGCGGGGCGGGGGGCGGTGCGTGAGGGGCCGAGGCGGGCGGGTCGCCGCTCCCTCAGGAGCCCCGGCGCGGCGGGAGGGGGAGCCGCCGGCCCGCCCCGTGTGGCGGGTGACAGCGGCCGCTGACCCGCCGTGGGTCCGGGCCCTCAGGGCGGCGGGAGGAGCGGGGGCGCGGGTGGTGGTCCTGGTTGTGTGGTTTGGATGTGTGTGTGGGGAGTTCTCTGGGGCAGCGCCGCTCCGGGAGCAGCGGAGCCGGAGCGGAGTGCGGGGGTCGAAAAATAAAGTTGTTTTCGTGTAAGGGAAGGGAGAGCGCCGTGGAAGCGCTCATCTGCCTCCTCCTCCTCGGGAAAAGTGAAGTCACTTCCCAAGAGCCCAAACTCGCAAACTGCTGTCCTAAATCTGCGCCGTCTGCAAGCCTCAGAGTCATCCACGTCGTGTTCTGGTTGTGTTTTTTTTATTTGTATGTGGGGGATTCTATCTATATTTTGTTTTCAAGCCCCCTTCCACTGTTCGGCTCTCCGTAACCGCGAGCCGGTACAAAAGTCCTTGGAAACCTGCTGAAACCACCCGAATGAAGTGGTCTCGGTGAATCGCCTCGTGTGAGTTCCTGTGCACTCCGTGTCTGCTGTCACTTCCAGAGCTGTGCTGGTGAAGCTGCCTGGTTGTGATAGCGTTGTAAATAAGTCGTAACCTGCCACATTTCACAGCTGCGTGCGTGTGTGTATCCATCCTTTTGCCTAGGAGTGGGGGGAGGGGAGGGAAGATTTAAAGTGTCAGCTCTTTTTAAGACTGAGAAAAATCCAGCAACAAGTAAGAAATAGCTTGCTTAGGTAAGCGTTGCTTTTCTCTGTCATTGTCTCACAACCATGCTGGGTTTCTGCTAGAACTTCGGGGAGGGCAGCTGTGCTTTCGTTTTCCAGAGGGAGACCTTGGTGATGTTACAGACAACATCTGCTTATCCCTTTAAATTCAGGAGAGGTACCGTGGCTTTATTTCACCAAATCTCCCTGATACGGGCCAAAATCCTGATCGTCCTGGGGCTGGCTCGGCTCATCTTGGGAAGCTTTACTGGGGGTTTAAGGTTAGTTCTGCAACTTATACCTGTGCCTAGGTTTTAAGTAGGATTGCAGCCAACTGTGTTTATGTGGGTTAGATGGTATTAGTGATATGATTAAGAGATTAGTTGGCAGTTTAAACTTGAAAAGACTGTAAATACAGTTACAGCAAGCCCCAGTTGACTCTGCTCTAAGAATTGAAGCTAAATTGGAGAGTTACTGGAGGTGCTCTGCAGTGTTTGCCTTGAGATAATTACAGTGAAATGTATTGCTTGGTTAAAAACAGCATTCAGTCCTTTAAGAAGTGATTCAGATATTAAGCTTTAATGTCATTATGTGGCTTTCTGTGTTCCTGGTGTACTCCCTAACATTTGAAGGCAGTCTGAGGTGTGGCCACCCCTTCCCTTCTGTCATCTAAGGGACTTCCAGGAGGTGAGTTAAGAGAACTAATTGGTCAAAAAGCAGTACTTCTATTTCTTTTTTTTTTTTTTTCCCCTCTCTGAGGTACTCTTTGGTTAGAACAACTTCCTGCCCCAGCTGGGTCCTCATTTTATGGTAAGTTAACAGCAGAAGGCACTACTGCTAAAGTAAGCCACTTCGTGTTTTTGATTAACTTAAGCTACTTGTGGTGAAGGTAGCAATGATAATAAGGGTGGTAGGAGCTCTTTTTTTTCTGCCAGTACTGACTTAGGTTGCTTATGAAGCTTTAGTGTCATTTTTATTTACTTTCATCAAAATTAAATGGACTCAAGAGCCACCACTGTGTCTCTGTTTTGATTCCAAGAGTCCACAGAAGTTGCTGTGATTTTCTTCTCTCTCCTTTGCTTATCCTTTCTTGTCTCTGAGCTTTTTTGTGAGTCATTAATTTCTGGGAGTGATCTGGGCATTGTGAGGGGTTTTTGTAAATTTATTGAGCTCTAATTTAAAAGCAATCACTTGTATATTGCTATTACCTCTGCTATAATTGGAAGGCTATTTCAGACTTGACTGGCCTCAGTAATTACACACATTCTGATTTCCAGTCTAGATGAATTTGTCATTGGATTATACCCATTTTGTGCCCCCCGTGGACTGATATGTTTTATTGGCACTTTTGATCTTGGTATTATTAAAAGGGGAAAAAAAGGCAGCGCTTTTAACCAGTAGGAAATGTGTGGAAATGTGCCACTGCAGGATTGTTTTCTCTCTGGACCACCAGCTGCACTAATCGTTCCTGTAATTGCTCTCAGCCTCTTCCCATGAATTTTAATCTTGACCTATTAAGTGACGATTAAAATGCACCTTTCAGGTGTTAACATGGAGCTTCCTGGAGGTGTCCTTTTAGTGAAGGTTGTTTTCAAGCATATTTTGATAAGATAATGTTTCTTGAGATTCATACCTGTGGCTGTTTGTTCCAGCCTCAGCCTTACTCTGTTGCACTGGTACAGCTGTTAAAGGAGTCATTATTGTAAAGAGCTTGAAAAATATTTATTTCACCTTTTCCCTGTATTCCTGACTGTAAAAAGAAACAAACCCAATGCAGAGGTTATTAAAAAACATCTCTGTGGCTTCTAAGGTGTTTTTTGAATTTTGATATCAGAAGTATTGCCAGGGGGGACTTTGTGAAGCTGAAAAAGTAGTTTGTTAGGTGTGACTGTAAGCAGGAGATAAATACATCAATTGGGTGATTGACTCCTGCTTAGTTAAACAGATTACTCTGAAAATACAGTTTTGGCCACAAAGTGAGATGGGGCACAGCCCTCTGACTTCCTACTCTAATCACCCCTGTGTCCTGAGCCAGGATATTGAAAAGGTGTGGGTGTTTTAGATCGAGCAAGCTTAGAAGTGCAATATTGTGGTGATGCTGAAAACCTGTTCCCTGGTTGTTGGGGAAGCACAGCAGTGCAAAGGGGAGCAGTTCCAAGGGCAAGCAGATAAGGGGTGTTTACACTTCTGTGGACCACACTTGGATGCAGGCTTACTGTATGTCCAGGAGCTCAGGCTGAAGTTGGAAATTGTGTGATGACAAGTAATAAACCTGATGCCAAAAACGCCCAAGGAAAGTTTGTGAAATAGAATCACAGGCAGATGAAATAACGAATTCTTGAAATAGAACCATTTCAGTTGAAAGGGGCTTTGGGAGGTCATCTTATCCAGATCCCTGCTTAAAGAGTGATTTAGATAAGGTTGGTCCAGCCTTTAACACCTTTCTAGGTAATCTGTTTCTACATTTGACAGCACTCTTAGTGATTTTTCCTCCCCCCTTTAAGCTGGTCGGAATTTACTGTCCAGCTTGTGTCTGTTGCCTCTTGTCGTGTCTCTGTGCACCATCCCAGGAGTCCAGATCTCTCTTCTGCACCCTTCCGTGAGGCAGCTGACAGCAAAAAGGATTCTTCAGAGCTCTTCTCTTGCCCAGACTGTGCGAGCTCAGCTCCACCAGCCCCTCCCTGTACACCGTGTGCTCTGCCACCTGCCCAGCTCGGCCGCTGGACGTGCTCCAGAGTGTCCGTGTCAGTGCTGTACCCGGGAGCCCAAACTGGGCTCAGCACTGCAGGCACAGCCTCACGGGGCAGAGCAGGGGATGGATCCTTGCCTGGACCCCTGCAAGCAGCCCAGGCTGTGCTCAGCTGCCTTTGCTGCTGACTTGTTTCCAGAGTTCTGCCTGCTGGGATCTCCAGGTTCTTTTATTGCAGAAGTCACGGTTTATCTGGGTCATGTCCAGCCCATCTTGTCAGAGGGGTTGTTCTGTTGCTGACCTGGCACTTGCCTTTGTTGAACTTCACAAGGTTTTGCCAGTGCCTTTTCCAGCTTGTCCCAGTCCCTCTGGACAGGAGCCCTGACCACTCGGTTTGGTGTCACTGGAAACTTGCTGAGGATGCGTGCTGTCCCATCATCCAGGTGATTCACAGGGACGTGGGATGGTCCTGGTGGTGTCAGTGGTGATGCCCAGGGGATTTGATTGTAACTGCTTGTGCTGGACCTGGCAGTGCTGGTGGCTGTCCCTTCAGCCCAGCAATCCAGTCCAATTCCCAAACACCTTTTTGCTCTTCCATCATCTGCTAACCAGTTGTCTCCTTGCAGTAAGCAAGTGTCCATCAGGCATCATTTACCCTTGGTAAATCCATGCTAGCTATTCCCCATCACCTTCTTGTCCCTCTTGGACATAGGGATAGCTTCCAGGAGGATTTGCTCTGTAATCCTCTCATGGACTAAGGTTAGGCTAGTTGATGTGTGGGTGCCTGGATCCTCCCCCTTGCTCTTCTTGAAGTTGGGTGTGATGTTTGCCTTTTTTCCACTCAGATGAAACCTCTCATGGCCTTTAGAAAAGTGGTAGAGTGTGGTATCTCAGTGCCATTGGCCAGCTCCCTCAAGATTCTTAGGGACATCCCATCTGCCTCTGCAGAATTTCCTGAAGTGCTTCCAAGCTTCATCTTCCTCCCTTGGAGGTAATTGTTTACTCCAGCAGACTCTGCTGGGCTCAGGGGCCTGGGGTGGACCTGAACAATGAAAACTGGGCTACAAAAGGTCTGAGTATGTCAGCCTTTTCCATGTGCTGTGTCACCAGGTCCCCATCCCACTGAGCAGAGAGAGCTTCTTCCTCAGCCTTCTCTCTGCTGCCAGTACACTGTGGTGTGAGTTTGAGCTCCAGATGGACATTGATTTTTCCCAGTGCCATCCTTGCAGGCACAGCCTGCACTCTGGGTTCCTCTTGGGCAGCCTCTGCTGCACCTGCCTGCTGGTGCTTCGGAAGGAGACCAAAACTGCCATAGCTGTACATGTGTCAGACTCCAAGATTGGTTGAAGTTGCGGTTAATAAGTGATTCTGCCTCAGCAGGAAATCAAAGATGTCACTTCCCCCAACCAACAGCAAATGTTATCAGCAGGGGCTGAGTCCTGCCTGAGATGTCGAGTGCAAGTTGCACTTTGGTGCCAAGGAGACAAAACAATGAGAAAAATGAACCACACCTCTTCTTTTACTTTTTTTTTTTTCATCATTAAAATAATTAACTCTAGGTAGAAATTTGGAGCTTCAGTGTGTGCCCTTCCCTTTTTATGCATTGCAATTGAAAGGAGGTGTTGATATTTAGCAGCAAGATGGGTGGATAAATACTTAATGCAGTCTGTGCATAAGTGCTTTCAGTTGGGATTAATTTCATTTTTTTGGTTGTTTCATAAATCCATTTTAGAAATGATTGAAATCAAAATTTTGGAAATCGAGGCATTTTTTGTTGACGCAAAATAAGGGAATGAGTTCTTGAGTGTAAAGAGTCTGGAACAGAGTTCTTGGTTGGTGTAAACCCCCAGCATGTGCTTGCTGCTGTCTGCAGTTCCCTAAGTGGTGTAAGTGCTGGGATTTGTGGTGTTCTGGTGACAGTAGTAGCAAGGTGAAGCTTTGCTTACAGTCACTGCTGTGGCTGTCCTGTCCAGACAGGGCTTTGGTATCTCTTTGGGCTAAATATAAGCTTTTTAGCATGGTTGTGAGTTCTGAGTTGCTTTCTAATGTAGCAGAAAGATATTCAAGTGGAGTTACATTTTTATGCAAAACAGTGTTCAATACCTACAGTAATTAATGGTAGAATCAGCCTGCACATTTGCCTTTCAGATGTGAACTTTCATTTTACATGGGGCTTCTGGCAAACTCTTAAACAGTGAAGCTCATTACTTAACGAGGGGGGACAACTCCCTGGCTTCATTGCTGCAATTCTTACTATCTCCCATTTCATTTCTGACAAGGAAAGGAAAGGTCAAAGGGCAGAAAAAAGTGAAAGGTGTTTTTTTAGAAGCAGTAAATTGTC